TGTGTGTGTGTGTGGCCAGCTTAGCCCACCAGGGGGCAGGGCTGGCTGGCATGTGGTGCTGGGGGATTGAACCGCGGTCTCTGTGCTTTGCTAAGCTTGTTCTAAGTAGGTGCTTTAGACCACTGAGCCATCTCACCAGCCCCTCAAGGTATAATTTAAAAATATAAAATAGAAGAGATGATAGGAAACAGGGACATGGGGCTTTTCTAAGGGGGGGGGGACCTAGAGACAGAAGGAAAGGGGTACAGGGGAGGGACGAGGATATCGAGGGAAGGTGTGTTCTGCTCATGGCCACTGCCCTGAGGAATGGAATCACTAACCATTGCGAACATGGGCTAATGATGAAAAACTCAACACTAAAACAACTCCCAAGAGAAGCCCCCTCTAGTGACCCCACCGCAGAGCTGGCTTGAGGTCACATGGGTCCCCTGCCTGAGGCCTCAGGGAGAGGAGACAGGGTTTTATACCAGGAAAAGCCAAGCTTCTGAAAAGCAGTGGTGGCTTGATCCTCTGAGCTGTAGCCAAATGTTAAATGGTTGTGTTATAGAGATTAAAATGACTTATGAAAAAAAAAATCTTAAAATGAAAATATCTATTCCTTATTTTATGGCCAGATGTGAAAGTGATCACTTTTAAGAACCTTGTATATGATAGCAGCTACAGGTTCAAAAAATACTGAACTGAGAGCAAAGAAAAAAGATAGTGAGATGGTTGGCAGTAGCTACCTACTTGATTTTAAGAATAGTTTTGTTGATTTTCTAATGGAACCTGAGTTATTTAAATTTAAAGGGAAGGGGCCGGGGAGACGGCTCAGTAGAATGGGCCTGAGTTCAATCCCCGGTTCCACCAAGAAAAAAAAAAAAAATTAAAGGGAAAACCAGTTGACATCCTGCTGCATAGGCATAGACAGCTTTTTAGTGGTATTTGGAGCTTGATTGAGGCCTTTTAGAGAATTACTGTTATACCCTTGATCTAATGTAAGTCTCCTACCCATTACCCACAATAGTCTTTGCTCATACCTAATTTTTATATTTATAACTACCCTCTGTCAGTGAAAAACAGCCTGTGTTGGGCCATTTTTCTGTAACTTGCTGGCAGTAATGTTGACAAGATACAAAAAATAGCTAAACTGATACTTTATCTTTTGATTTCAAATCTAATAGCTCTTTGAAATAAACAGATTGTGCTAAAAAATCTACCATCTTAGATTTGACATCCATCAAATAAATGGATAATAATAATTTAAGAGAACAATTTGTTTAAGGGCCAGGGAGATAACTCAGCACTTGCCTGACAAATGCAAAGTCCTGAGTTCAATCCCTGGTACTGCAAAAAAACCTTAAAAGTAATATATCTGATACCAAAATTAGCATTACATGTTATTCTCAGCTGTTTGATAAAATTGCTCTAGATAGTGTTTTCTTTGGTGAATATAGTATAACTGCGTATGAGAGAAATTGTGGAAAAAAATAATTTTTTCCTTCATATAAAGCATTTGTCAAAAAATTATTTAAAGGCCAGTTTCAACTTTGTGACATCTGTCATTTGCATTGCTATATAACTAGCATATAATATTCCTGAAAAATCTAGTTATGTCATTAATACTGAAATTTTTGGTCATATCTGGAACCTTCCTTCCATTCTTTATTTTCATTCTTTTGATGTGATTTGTACAAATAGTGTATTTTACTGGGAACGAAAAGAACTGTGGCATAAACAGATTATTTGGTAATCGTCTTTGGATGTTTAACTGAGAGTTCATTTTGCATGTGGGGAGGGTGGTTTCTTGCTATGCAGTTCAGGCTGGCCTTGAGCTCATTTTGTAGCCCAGGCTGATCTCATATACTCAGCAGCTATCCTCCTGACTTAGCCTCCTAGTACATGTGCTACCACATCCAGTTAAGAGTTTGTTCTTTTTTTTTTTTTTTTTTTTGGTACAGGGTATACAGGGTGTTAGGGTCAACTATGGGCTCATAGTGATCCACTTGTGTTCAGCCTCCCAAGTGCTGGGATTACAGGCACATGCCGCCATACCCCGTCTCAATCGCTGTCTCAGCGTGCCCTGGAGGCAGGGCCAGCACACTATGCCATGCCAGGGATCGAACCCTGGCCACTGCGCTCTGCCTAAGCAGACACTTTAGTCCACTGCACTATCTGACTGGTCAAGAGTTCATTCTCAGTACTTAATAAAAATTGGCATTTTTTTCCAGGTATGTAGCTCAGTGACACAGTGCCTGCCCAGCAAGTGCAAGGTCATGAAGTTGAGGTGAGAAAATTACAAAATTCAAGGCCAGCCTAGGCAATATAGTGAAATGTCAAAAAAAAAAAAAAAAAGAAGAAGAAGAAGAAAAAAAAAAAGAAAGAAAGAAAAACTTTTTATTTTTGACAAGGGAAAACCGAATAACCTATCTCTTACAACTCAGTAATGGAACTCTTGGGAGGCTAGGAGTCCAATCTAGTAGTGAGACCCTGAACACCCTGTAGACCTTTCCCTAATATACAAACAAACAAAAAACTCAGTAATGGTATCGCCCTTAGCTGTTAAGATGATTCTTTTAACTACCTATAACAGAACATGAAATTTGGGTAGTTTTTTCCAAATATGTATCTGTAAAACTTAATTGTTTCAGAGTTAACTAATGTCTCTGCAACCACTAGTTTTCATTTCTAAGATACAAGTAGGTATTATGTTGACCTTTGGCTGTAAAATAAACCCAAACCTCCACCCCCCCCCACAAAAAACTTACCTGATCTTTGACTCTCTCTCTGCTATAAGCACAGTAATGGCATCACTTGAATGAAAATTATATGTGTACACAATACTATAGGGCTGGGGAGATGGCTCAGTGGAATAAGTGTTTACCTGGCAAGTGCAGGGGCCTGAGTTCAATCCCCAGTTCTGCCAAAAAAAAAAAAAAAAAGATAAACAATGATACAAATATATATATGAAATACGAAAATTAATGTTTTCTTTGCTTGTGGGTATTTTTGTTGTTTTTTTTGTTTTTAAATAGATAATAGTATAGAATTTCAAAACAAGACAGTAGGAAATTAACAATAGCTAATATATTGCACAGCGTTATCTTCAAAGTAGTTGCTCAGATTACAAAAGTGATGAAACAATATAAGCACTAACTGTTCTTTTCAATGATTAATAGAAATTGGTAGTATATTTTTTCTTAGCTATCTTGTGT